GACCGGATGCTGAAGCGTGGCGGGTTTTAAAAAGGATGTCTGGTAATCTTGGGGTTTTTTGTTTTTTTTCCTTCCTCTCCAGCAACGAAGGTTTTGGGAACAGTAAAATGGTTCAATGTAAGAAACGGATATGGCTTCATCAACAGGTGAGCTGACCGCCGCTGAAGCCTTGTCCTACCTCTTGCATGCTCTTCCCCGTCTGTAGGCTTTGTGGGCTCGGAGTTGTTGGAGAGTGTGTGAGTTGCCACCTCTGGTGTATTGTTGGTGGGGTTTTGTTTTCCTTGTGACTGAATGGATCTAGAGATTGTCCTTGTTTTGCAGCTAAATGTTCACGGTACAAAGCGACTTAAGAGGCAAGCGGAGTGAGTGGGACGTCTTTAGCAGTTAGGGCAAAATGAGAAAACTAAGATCTGGCATAATTCTTTTAGGCTCAGGCCCACCGCATTTTTATCCTTGTTATCCTTTTATACGTTATTGAAATTCGTGTTTGAAAATGTGACCCACTAATTATTATATAGATTATTTACGACTTAACCTTTAGAGGTAACGTGATTTGGCGATGCAACTGTATGAGGTCTTGTCATCTTGACTGAAGTTATGTTGCCTTTGTTTATTGTTCCATTATATGCTGTCTCATGCCTCTGATAAATTTCATATCAGGACTGTTTTGACAGTTTTTATGTACTCATGCTGTAACATCTGGAAGAAAGTGGCCCTTTGCCTTGTTCAATTTTTATTTCTTACTGCCCTCAAGTCGTACCTATTGAAGCTTTGGTTGTAGCTTATTAGAGTGGCCTTAATCCACAGTAAGGTGGTTCTTCGTATTTGAAGGCCTAGCTCCAAACTGCATCCTTAGGATTAATCCTTAGCACTGTTTGCGGCAACAGTGCCGGCCCGGGCAGTTTACTCCGGACTTGCTCCTCGTGGTCCCCCTTGTCGGCGGGCATCATTTCCAAGATGGCTGCCAGGGCTGGTGCAGCCACAGGGTGCAGAGCACGGTGCCCGCCACAGCAGTGTTGGCCTTACAGGAGGATAACAGTCATCTCGGTGTTCTCTTCCTTACATCGTTTCTTTAGAACGTTTTAAATAACGAGATGTTTAAAAGAACTTGAGTGAGAAGTAATACCAAATGTGTCTGAAATGGGCACTACTGGAGGAAACCCGGTGGGCAAGAGCAAGCTTAAAGACACATAAATGGGTGGTGAAAAACCGTTTGTTAACCATAAAGTATTGTGGAAACGCTCAGAGCAAAAGAGGTTGTAAGCATTTGATGGTCTGTTTTCCATGTTTGCAGTTGTGGGGAAACATTTTGTTTCTTCTAAAATCTTGGAATTTTCCTTGGAATTTTCTTACACTGTCTTTGTGACAGGCCAAGGCCACATTTTTCATCAGTATTTTTGATAATGGGTTACTAGTGAAGAAGGAAGGGAATTCTTTGATGCTTTTATTTGATGGATCACTTTTTAGGTTAGTATTTCCATCTTACTCTGATTGTCATTACTGGCCTAACCCTTAATTTAAAGCAATGGTTTTTGAATTGAAGTGTTTCTACTTGGAAGAGTAACACTTTTCCTGAGTTCTTCCCTCCCAGCTTGGATTCATTGGATCTTAGGTACATTTTTAAAGAGAATTCCAGGTGATATGGCTTGTGGGCCTTATCTTAAAAAACATTGTTTTTAACTCTTGACCCAAAGTAATGACCCAAGGGTATTGCTGGTGTGCGCATTAGAAGGGACTGTAATATTTAGTCCTTTAAACGGTTAGATTGTAGTTTGTGTGTGCTTTAAAAATTGTCACATGTGCCTTCTGTTTTGCTGTATTTGTTAAATGGACATAGATTGTGATATTTTTGAAGTGAACAATTGATACCCAAGATAAAAGTTATTCACATGTTCTAAATTTTTATTCTGTGAGATTCCATTCCTTTAAAGTATCTATGTTGATTAGCAATCAACTCACTTGGTCATCCTACAGGGCAAGTTAAATGTCAGTTAGCTTTTGATGGTCCTTTGGACTGTCTCAACCTCAGTTTTTATCAAATTAACTGGTTCATATGTTTTATATCTCTGAACTGGTCATTTCAGTGATTCTGAGACTTTGGAACAAGACATTGTAAAATCAAACTGCAGTTAAGTCTAGGAGAGGTTTGCCTTGCTTAAGGGAAAATGTATGTGTTAAAGAACTATATAGTTCTGGAAGCTGGCAGTTCAGGGCTGGAGGCATCTGGCTCTCCTCTGAGAGGGGAAAGTGTGTGTCACATGACACACATGTGCTATTTCTCTGTAAAGGAGAGGATCCAGTGTTGGGGGTGACTGGTGTGACTCTTAATTTTAACCTTGGAATTCTGTGAATTATATATGCTAGGTTCTTAAGGCTTTTGTAATTAAAAAATATTTTAAATGCAAACTTTTCCTTTAAAGAAACGGATTTTCATTGTAAAGATTTCAATCTAAATTATTGCCTATGATTCTTATAGCCCTACTAGAATTATTTTTAAAGGGTTTTTTTTCCTTGATGGTTTTATTGTATAAAAGGTGCTAAATAAGTGTAGAGCTTTTAAAATTTTGTCTTCATGTGTTAGGCTGTGTAGTCTAGGAATTCATTGTTCTTTTGTGTGCTTTGTCTACAAAAGATAATTGGATTATGTGACTAGTGGCGTTTATTAACCCCCCCCAAAATTACTTTTCATTTTATGATGAAAAACTTCACTCAGCTATTGAAGGTATCATTAGAAGGATGCCATGGGTTCAGTGGTTTCAGGGTTTCTCTGCTTTTGAATCTAGAAACCCAAATTATCTGTTTCTTCTAGCTGTTGAGGATTAATCCATGCTCATCAAACTCAAAGAAAATTGGCATGAATCAGTAACAATTTATTTTTCAATGGGGCATACATCTTTTATAGTGACCAGAATAGAAATAGTTTTCTATTATCCAGAGTGCTTACAATGCTAAATTAATCACTCTAAATTGGGGGTAGGCAAGGAATTTGGCGCAAAGAGTATCAAGTAGAGAAGCCACTACGAACTGGTGACGTGCCTTATTCAGAGTATCAGCTTTTTTTTAAAAAGCTGCATTTTAGCTTTGGGGCCTTTTGTCTTGTGTAAATAAAAATCAGCTGGCCATGAGTGTTATTACCACCTGTAAATGGGGCATGCATTCTCTATTTACCACAGTCAGGCTTAGTTTTCTCCTGTTGTTGACTTATGTTTTTGCCTGGCCTCTGCCTGTGCGTTTGAGTTTATTACTTATTACCCATAGTCTAGGATGAAGTATAATAAACTAAGCCAGGGAAAGGCTTAGCTGTCCCTCTTCACAAAAATACTTAGTCATGGCTGTCAGGTTCGGTCTCCCTTTGGAGGGGGAACCTCCCTATTGGGGATTCCATGTGTATATAACTGCAGAGGGTGACTTACTTCATAATAGTGGTCATAAAAGAGCTAATGTTAAGTATTTTTGCCCAGCACTATTAAATGCTTTAAATGAACTAATTCGTTTAATCCTCAAAACCTTTGGTATAGGTAATATTGCCAGCCACAGAGATGTTGAGTAAACTTTCCCAGAAAGTGTAGCTAGTAAGTGGCAGAACTAGGATTTGAGCTCAGTTTTCAGACTCTGGAGTTTGTGCGCACTGACTGCTGTTGTGCTGTCTCGGAAAACAGACTCTACTCTTCACTTGGGTTGTGTCCACATGCTTACAGATGGCGGAAGAGGGGTGGGGTGTCCTTGGCCATTGAAAGACTCTTAAGTGATCTCTAGCATGTCACTAGAGCTCCCATATGCTACTACAGTTCCGCAGATTTGAAAAGCTTTTTACTTTTTACTGCCTGTTTTATGTGGTTAGGGACTGTTATAATACAGTTTTAGTTTATCATGTTTTTAAAAATTAAAGGACTTGCTTTGTATCGAATATTGGGAGGCAATTAGGGAACTAAGGAGAGAATATTAGACCTTTATCTTTAAACTCTTTTTTACTATTTTTATATGGCCTGTGAGCCAAGAATGGGTTTTGCCTTTTTAAAGTGTTAAAAAAAAATACACAACTCTGTGTGACCCTGCAAACCCAAAATACTATCTGGTTCTTAATTTTAAAAGTTTGTAGACCTGTGGAAAGAGATTGCCATGTCTCTTGGGCTGTTAAAGTCAAACTGATCTTAACCTGATCACAGAGATCTATCTCTTGGCCCAAGAGCCAAGAAATCATAGGTAGTCTTTAACATAAATGAGTAAATGCTGTGGCACTTAGGGAAGGTTCGAAGATTTGGTTGTGTGCTAAGGATGGGGGGTGGAAGAGGGTAGGTGGGAGAGGCATAAAAAGATACTTGAGCAGTCCCCATGTCTAACAAGTCATTGGCAGTCTTTTAATGAGCACTGTATTTTGTCTGGTTTCTTCAGAACTGGAATTCTTAAGGCAATGGCTTGTATACAGGACACTAGGATTAATTCATGTGCTAGTTGTTAGCCATGGATCTTGTGTTGGCCAGAAGTCATCCCTGTTCACCAAGTCACTGACAATTAAAATTTTTCATCTTGGAATCTAGTATAGTGAACTAGTTTGTTCACCTTCTGTTTCCCTGATACTGGGGCTGTAATTGTTGATTTACGTACTCTCCAGTCTCAGCCTTTGGAAGCATCTACGATCTAACTCACTACAGGCAGAATGGTAGAAAATAGTGTGAAATGGGAGTGTCTGCTGGGTGTGAGGAGCATTTAATAGAACAAGTAAAGTAAGTGGAGTTTGTGATCTTTCCAGCCATCCGTGGGACTCGAAAATTGATGTCTGGATGCTTCGGGTTATGGGGCATATAGATGCTAAATCTTGGAGTTTGTTTTTGTAACTATAGGATTATAAATTGATGCAGTTGGGCAAGTTAAACCGTTAATGCCTTGGTGTGGTAACCTTAAGATAAGAGCTTAAGAGCATTTAGTTATGGATAGATAAGCATATATGGTAGGTCTCATTTAAGGCAGTGCGATGGATTGGCAGAAATTTGAGGATATCTTAGCTCTTTTTGAATCTGGATAGATTCAGTAATATAAGCTACATGCTAGTTTAATTATGCCACATTACGAACTTTGGAGAGGCTTCCATTTTCTTTAAATTCCAGCAGGATTCCTTTTTCTTTGGCATTCTCTTAAAACTGTATCT